ATGACGCGTCTAAAATTCGCACCTGCTCCGCTATTATGGAAATTAAACTAACAAGATGAATAACATGAAATTATTTTAGGCACAGACAACATCTCCCACACTTTTGAAAATCTTGCAACGCGCCTGGTCGCTTGTGTACGTCAAAGTTATCTTTCATAAGAAGATAATCAATAAAACGATTTATATAAAGATGATCCAGAAGTTGTAGCCCGTCTCTGCTACAATATTTTGATATTTTTCACCCTGTTGGTGGTTTTACTGAGCAGGTGCCACTTTTGTCATACGTTTCTTTTAAAAACATGTTTAGACTGTTCAGAATACAAATCCAGGCTCTCAGAACCAGAGCGCATGTGAGAAGGTTCCTCCCACTGAAGCGAGTGTTTTCCAAACCCTGTCTCTCAGAGACTTGTCACTTAGAAAATGTTCCCTGATTATGAAACTTTGGCTGAAAAGTGCTTGTTCCTGTCTCCAATGTGGCGACGCATCCAGGAGCCTGTCTGAGGAGAATCCCAGAATCTGACATCCTCCAGCTCAGGAAGCGCCTATGATTACGCACAAGCGTGACGCGTCAACCCGGTCTCACAGTAAGACCGGGTTGGACCTGTTCAGGTTTACGCAGACAATCTTTACATAGAATTGACATACAGATGTAAAATTAATGCAGTAAAATATAACGCATTTTATTTAAATATCCATTCATTATTTTACAAGCACAGAGCATCAGATGGATGGAAGAGCCGCATGCGGCTACAGAGCCGCCGACCCCTGTGCTAGCCTATATTGTCCCCAGCAATTTTTAAACCCCACTCAAGTGTATGGTTATTGTCCCCAGCAATTCTGAAAACAAACTGACGCCCTTGAGTCTGACAGCCAGTGTCTTGGGTAGATTTAGCCTGAAAAAAAAATAAGCACATTGTTGTTGGGAGTTTATAAAGTCAGATAATATACAAAAGAATCTCCTATATAGGCGCTTTATAACATTCCTAGTGTGTGATCGTTATAACGTAAAAGTCAGTCACACATGATGTGGAGAGCCTGAAATGTGACCTCCTGAACAGAATTCCTTACAGAACCGGGTCACGCTGTGCTGGATTTCACGCTGTAATGCTGTCTGTCAACTAGTGCTGTTAGTTAGAGCCACTGTTGCAGAATTACCGACTGACTAGCTAAAGGAAGTGAACCACGTGTCTCAGACTTTGCATTTAGGTAGGGAATTGTCTTTAGAAGATGTTAAAACGTTTATTTAGCGTACTCACCTCAGACTGGAGCCCGCCGTGGTGGGGGAGCAGAGTCGGTGGGCTGCATCTAAATCGCGGAAGAGCCACGGTGGGCACAGCCTCACACTTCAAACGGAGACGTGCAGAATCGCGGGTAAAATGCCCACAGAGTCACTGCAACCATACTACACTACACCTACTCACCAATACTAACACGATATGAGCACTAAACCCGAACTACTTTCCCAATTACACTAACAGCCAAACACTAACTAAACTACAATATCCAACAGCCAAATCTAACACTAAATAAGTATTTATAACACTAAAAGATATGCTAAAGACTAGGATATGCTAATGCTATATGCTAATGCTGAACTACCGCTGACCTCCTACACTCGCTTGCAAATCCAACTCCCACTCGCCACAGGGCGTGGCCGAGACGCTCGTTGCTTTTATAACTTTGGCACGGAGCTGCTACGTAGTACTCTACTGGTTTACATAGTACTTTACTCTTTAGCCATTGGCTAAAATTTATTCAAAATGACTCAAATTCTATGTTTTCAGCTAAAGGTGGCGCATTACTGTGGTTTTTAGACAGAATTTTTAATTTTTAAAGAAAATGCACCAAAATGCTAAAATAAAGAATGCACACATTGAAAACACTATTAGACACTCATTTATGCAGTTCATCAGCAAAAAAAAGTTAATTTAGACGTTACTTGCTCTTTAATAAACATTCGATACCATTACAATTTCCTTTGATTTCATTTTAAATAAATATTTAGAGTGCCCAGGTAGCACATAAACAATGCAATTTAACGGTTTTCCTAAAGTAGGAATGTTTAACCTGTGCGGCCAGAGCGCTGTCCTTCCTTCTGCTCTGCGTAAACCTGAGCTGGTCACCTACTTGTGCGTAATCAAATGTCAATAGGGGACAAGATATAGCCATGAGGTTCACTTTTACCTCAGACCGACTTATTGCTGTTTTATGGTGTGGCTGAATCTGCGATCCGCTGTCATGCGGACTGGAACAACAAATGCTGCAGTAACAGGAGATGTGGTCAGGTTCATGAGGAGTCACTGGCTGGAGCGGACCGACTCATCCCAGAAGCTAATATCTTAATTTGACCTTGAATGAAAAATAACCTCTTAAAAGTTTTTATCATGGTGGAGGCAGCGTTCATTTCTGCCTTCAATCTGCCGGCACGCTGGAGTTAAAGCAGCGTGTGCGCTTATTGAATCTGTGTGTGTGTGTGCGAGCGCATGCGCGCGCGCGGCACAGCCGCTTAAGTCACCGCGTCTCGCGCTATTTAAACCAATGTTGTAAAATGACTTCTGCCCAGCCCAGATGTGCTCACTTGTGCACCCGTGAGCCGTGGTTCAGCCGGAACGCGTCTGACCTCTGCAGACGCACTCTGAACTTCAGATCTTCAGCGCGCTGTTAATAGCTGAATGGGAATCATTTCTTGTTATTTAGTTACATCCACAATGTCCTGTGTGTGAGGTTTACAATGTCAGAAACACCTGCATGAGACAGGGTGTTAATTACAATCTGCCAGAATGACTCACCTTCAGATTTCTCCAACACCGTTAAAAATGATCAAATACGGAACATATCAGCATGCGCAGGCCAGAGTGCTGAAGCTCGGCGCATTGTTGTTATGAAGCTAGGGCACATGTGGAGGACACACGCGCGCATGCGCAAAAATATACTTGTTTTCAATTACATTTATTGTGCCCACTTACTTTTTCTTTGGCCCACCCACAAATGAGTTTCTACGCTAATGGTGACATATGACAGACTTCTCTGAGCTCCGCAGCCATTACACTTTTCACCTCGTGCACCCCCTAGCGGCAGCTCGCGCACCCCCAGGGGTGCGCGCACCACACTTTGGGAATCCCTGCAGTAGGGCATAGTGCTGTCTTGAGCATTTTCAGGTGTCACCAAATATTCTTGCAATGGAAAACACTGAAATTATAAACTGTCATAGTGAAAACATGACAAAGCCATTTGACTATCTTGTTCATAAAGATGGTGTCAATACTTTTCATTTTGATGGCACTGACAGTTTCATTGACAGGAATACTTGCTTTTGAGGAATGGATTATCAATTTTGAGCATGTGACATGCTTTTGCAGTCTATCCACTAGGTTTTGCAGTTTGCACTAATTGTTTTGAGAAGTGCACTAACTGCTGTGCAAATGTTAATAGTGTTCTGAGAAACGCACCAAAGCGACTGAGAAAAACTGTAATACCTATGCTGTTTTTCAACAAGGTAATGTAGCATACCCAATAAATATGTGTTGTCTATCTGTTCTCCTGAGTGAATTAGTAATGTTGTAATGCTACAGAGAAACAGTTTAAGAAAAACACAACACAAACACCACTTTGTTGTTGGTTAGCATCCAGAGAACGTCTCAATTGGTAGAAAGTAACTGTTAGCATTAGCAACCCCACCACTCAGCAGAAGGCCTCCAGGTTTGTGTTATTTGGAGAGATAAAACATCAACGTTGCAAAGCAAACCGAGTGTGGTGGAGTCACTTTGCTGTTAGAGGCAAATATCAGGAAATAAGGATCCAAATCCTGCCGTGTTCAGCTCTCCTCTGAAGTGGTAGACTGCTAGTTCCTGAAACCGGTGCATCTGAGCTTTCCCCACCACTGCAAATGTATTGATTAATTAAGTGATCCACACCTTTAAGGAATTCCTTGAAACTATTCAGAACCCTGGGACAATGAATGTTTTCTAAAGAACCATCCGAACTAGAACCCACACAAGGGAAGTGGTTTAAGGCAAGGCACTCTTCTGCAATTAGCCACTTGTTAAAGTCAAACCTCCCACACTGGCTTTCCTCCTCAGAGCATTAAAATAAACAGTTCTGTCCAAGACAGTGAGAAACAGCAGCAAGGCTTTTTAAAAGTAAATAACGATTATACTATAACATGCACTGAAGCCTTAAGCCAAGAATGATGAAATATAATCCCCAGGCCTTCAGACTGTACATTTAAACATATGTTGCTATGGCAGAAAGACACACAGATGAGGATTCATTAATGGTGAAGTTGAACTTTTACCTTTAAATACGCTAAAGATAACCCGATTTTTCAGCTTCACGGACCAATCCAGACTTTTCTCAGAACTCGATTACTGGCTAATAAGACAAGTTTTGTTTTGTGCTGGTACAGGACAGGGAAAAGCACATTCTCCTTTCACAAACTCACATGTAATTACAGAATCAGATGATTTGTGGGAATGATGTAACCTTCAAACACAGGTTTGTTGTTGGGATGAGGAGCAGCTGAGCGGTTTGTCTCCAGGCTTTGCTGTCTGACCTGAAGAGAAAAGAGTAAAATCTAAGGGACGTGTTCAGTAAACGTGACAAGGGTAGGGACAGATAAAAGCTTATCTCATTTATATCTGCAATTTTAATGTCTGATATTTCACTTTGCAGGCTGATTGGAGGAATAAATTAGTTTTTGTGTATTAAGATCTTGATTCTTTGCCTCTAAATCATTAGAAATGTAATTCTGATTGTGCACAATGGCTGTTTAAGCCTATTTGTGACAAACTATTTAAATACAGTGTGTTAAAACCATTGACTGCAGCTACACCCAGCTTTTAACTTTATGAGACCACAGCAAAAATGGGCTTTTCCTAATTTCTACAGACCTGTGTAAATCGTCCTCATTAACGCCCAGACAAGCCTTCCCAAATTACTTAGTTGCTGCATGATGAACAAATGTCTCCCTCTCCACTCCTGATCTTCACCCGCCGTCCGTCCACTCTTCTGAAGACAAGGAGCTTTTTGTATGAAAGGCAAATCACAGGACTCACATGCTTTGGTGGGGAGAAACAGAGCGATCAGAGCAGAAGATAACCTTCCTCAGAGGGGAGAAACACAGCGGAGGAGCGGACTGCAGCTGTTTAGAGCTGGACGAGGACCTCAGGAGAACGTCAACCAAACAGGAGCGGAAAGAGCAGGACTACCTAAAGATGGAGGACGATGGAACAGAAACGGAGACGAGGACAGAGGACCAGGCAGAAGGTGAAAGTGGAACTTTTCTGAGAACAGAATTTTTCTTCTTATTTTCTGTGTTCTTTATTAAGTTCAAATGACACAAAGTTCTGCATCATGTGTTTAAATTATAATCTTTAGAAAGTTAGAGAATAATTGTGTTTTGTAAATTTTAAGAGAACCAATGAGATGATTAGGGTCCGACCGATACGATATAAAACTTTTAACAAAGGCCGATAGCCGATATAATGGCTGATAAATCTCCCTCACAAAAAAAAAGATATACAAATTTTCTTAAGCTTAAACCCTTCATTTTCTGCCTTTTTGATGCAAACTTATCTCTCTATTACACACCAAAGAACTGTCTCAATAGCTCACTAGGGTTTCCAAGCAATGCAAATAAGATTTATTTAGCAGGTCTCAAAAACAACAGAACACACAAACTCAGTCACAGCATAAATCTAACATTCGAGTTTTTTCTTGTAAACTGTGGTTTCCACAAATACATTTTAACTTAAAGGAACATTCCACCACTCAGTAAAATTGTGTCTTGTTAAGATTCCCCAGAGTTAGACAAGTCAGAAAAAGCATTTTATAACCAGCCCAATATGATCTGGCAGCAGTTGGTTTTCTTAGTTTAGCATAAAACGATGTAAGTGAATTCACACACATTGTAGTGTTTTTATATGCAAGCCTTCCCTTCCATTGCTTTATGCTAAAACAACTGGTTACAAAATGCTTTTATGACTTGGCTAACTGGGGAATCTAACAACACACACACGTTTAGGGACAGAAGATCCCTATAAGAATATTAAAATAATAAAAATGCGGCAATAAATAAAACGTAATACGTGTGCTTTGTAACAAAGTAACACTCTGTGGAAGTTAACTTGGTGAATCGGTACTGGAAACTGACGCGGTGAAGATTTAGGGTTGCCTTCCAGCTCAGCTGTCCTCCATCCGGGAGGAGTCCTAAAGGAAGACCCAGGACATGCTGGAGGGACTATCTACTGGCTGGCCAGGGAACACCTTAGGATTCCCCCAGAGGAGCTTGCCCAAGTGGCTGGGGAGAGGGAAGTCTGGATCTGCTTGCTTAGGCTACTGCTCCCAGCTGATGAAAATGGATGGATGGAGTCTCTAACAAGCAAAAAGATGGAAGACAGCTAAAAGAAACAATTAATCAGTCATTTCCTGCAGATGTTTTGAATGAATTCATGTCACTTTTAAGTTCATTTTACATAAAAAAAATGAATATGAAGCTGACTGGGTCATGTTACCCCAATCTAATTTCAGATCCTCTCTCATCAGGCTTCTTTGTGAAAATGTTTTCAACACTTACAGAAGCAGGACCTGCAGACAGCATCGCATCTCCACAATTTTTCATTCTCTTTTGTCAAAACTAAAAGTCTGAGGTCAGTCTGGGACGGCAGCACGATGCTGAGGCCAACCTTCCCCAACTGAATTTAAAGCAAAACACACGACTCCAAGTTACCAGAGGAAATTCGACACACTGTGTGTCTTCGTCAACAACAAAGACTTCATTGTTGGGCTCATGATACTTTCTTTTGCTGCATGGTAATGTATGACAAGTGCGTATTTGAGGGGAACCTTTGCAGTTTTGACAGCAGCTTTGACCTGAGCTCTGACATTTCTGGAACAAACGGAAGCATTATTCTCTTACAACCAGTGGTCCCTCCTCAAATGTCCTGAATTTGAAACAGAAAAGAAGTTATTACATCACTTACAGCCTGCAGAACAAACACAAACAGGTTCGAACACAAATGATTTCACATTGCTGCTCCCTTTAACCAAAAATAATGTAAACTTAAAACTTCTTTGTCTCTTCAACATTTTTGCAAAAGCAAATTTATTATGGTTGTTATGGTCTGTACTTTAAATAATTATTCTGCTTAACACTTGTATGTTCAAACAAGTTGGAAGAAAATAAAGTTAATTATCAGTAAAAGTTGTATTACACTGATATAGATGCTGTGTAAAATAGACACTTTACTGTTGTTATTTATATTCACATAGAAACAAAACAACAAGCCCCCATGAAACCTTTACTTTTATTTAAATCTTTTAGGATATTGTGGATATTTTATGTGTAAATTCAGAATTAATCTAATATCTAATAAAACAGTTACTTTATGTGATATTCATGTACATCACAAATACAGAACACCCTTAAGCCTAATCAGTGTGTGAATGGCCTTTTTCATGCTTTGACGTCAGCGCTGACTTGTCACTGCTTTTCTTTTTTCCGTACCAGAAGTGACCATATTTGGTGAAGAGGAAGGAGCTGAACAATGACACACTTAGAGCTGATAAAAACATTTATTTAAGGTTTAACTATCTATTAATAAAATGATCAGGAGTGCTAAAGACACACGGATCATGAATCATGAAAAAAGCAAGGAATTTCGGGAAAGAAATTTTGTAGTTTTGGGATAAATTATGCTGATTATTAAATAAACTGATGGAGACTGGAGTTTTTTTTTAAGTCTTGACTTTAAATTTGAGTCAGTCAAGTTCAAGTTGGAGAAATAAGCATCTCCTCCTTTTTCATAGTTGAAAAGTGAAGTCAGAATATTCCAACAGCCACGCTGATGCACCAGTAACTAACGTCTGAATTATCTGGTGCTGCTGCATGATGACATTCAGCAAGACTGTATTTAAGGAATTACAGCGACCGGTGGTTCCTAACCTTTTTTCCACAAGGACCCCCCCCCCCCCCCCCCTTGCAATCAATCAATCAATCCTTCACTAAAGTTTTAACTCATTTTGGAATGTTTATTTCTCCACAGGTGTCAAAGAAAATGTGGAGGAATATTTCCCAGAGACCTCTCAGGTAAACGTTTACATTACTTACTTTTTTCTTATTTTGGTCCACTAGTCCATATTTAAACGTTACTGTTAAAATCAAAGAAACCAAAATATGAGTCAAACTACCAGATTTAAATTCCTACCCAAACCCATAAAATGTTTGGCAGATTCTTCAGTTTCAATTCACAACAAAAATCACCCCAAGGCACCTTACAAAGTAAACAATCCACTTGAATCTGCTTATCAGTGCAGTGAATTCAATTCATTATGTCAATTAGTTAAAAGTTACTTATGTAAGAAAACCCAGCAGACTAGTGTCAGAGTCTTTACAGCAATCCTCATACTAAGCTAGCATGTAGCGACAGTGGAGAGGAAAACTCCCTTTTAACAGGAAGAAACCTTCAACAGAACCTGGATCAGCATGAGCAGCCGTCTGCCATGACTCACTGGGGGTTTGAGAAGACAAAGCACACACACACACACACACACACACACACACACACACACACACACACACACACACACACACACACACACACACACACACACACACACACACACACAGATCTCCAGTTTTAAATGTTCGGGTGCACATCATCACCGTCATCGCAGTAAAAGTTTTTTTTTTTTTTGGTAAAAGTCCAGTGGTGCGCACAGAAAAGTTTCATAGGGGGACAAGTGAAAATTTTGGGGTGGGGGAAGAGTTGCATTGCATTCTTCCTTTATTCTTTTTTTTATCAAAAAACAAAATGCATCAAACAAATTGACCTTGAATTTGAAAAACAGATACATGAAATTTTAAACATTGTTTCAAAATGTAATATTTTACCATTTTAGAATAGTTTAGTTTGTTGCTGTCTTAACAAAAGCATCTACAAAAGCTATTGATCTTTATTAACTCAAGACTTGTTTCAGTCTAGCTTACACAATAAATTGTTAAACTGGTATGTGGCGAGCATTCGTTTAAACAGTGATTGGTTTGCTCATTAAATTAAAATGTATTTATCGAGTTACGTCTCGATTAAAGAAGGTAATGTATGGTTTGTGTGAATGAATGTGATTTATTAAAGGTGGAAGTTGTCCGGCGGGGGGGGGGGGGGGGGGGGGGGGGGGTTAGTGGGGTGGTTATTGTCCCCCTGGCCACCCCTAGGGGGTGCCACTACCTGGAACAGGTGCGTATCTCGCAACATATGAAAACTAGAGTCAGAAAAGAAGTGCAAAGGATTTTTTTTAAATGCAGCTCTGGTGGAAGGTTCATGCAAAATAATCAATGTTTTCAAAATTGAGTGCGAATTTTCACAGGGTTGGTGACCACAGGGTTCTGAGACAAGTCATGGATGGACCTTCAGGGGGAAGTGGTGCACCAATGGGAGATCGTAGCATGAGGATTGCAATTCTAATGAGATCCAAGAGAACCCTTTGTCAGCTCTACTGTTGGGCCAGTAGGAGAGCTTGTTGTTATTGCATGCCAAGTAGTAGTGACTAAAAGTGGGCAATGCAAAACAGCTTTATAATGCGAGGAGACCTGCCAGACCACATAAAACAGGGTACCATCTGATCCAGTTAGTGAATAAAAGATCTTTTCATAAATATTGGACAGTTTTGGAACAGATGGGGAAATTTCCAGAGGTTCACCATTTTTAGAAGATGTATTCTGTCAGTTATGGAAAGATGGAGGGAGAATCAATGACTCATGTCCTGCATACACTTTTCAACCAGAGGGTTAAATTTTTCATCAAAAGGTTTTCAGAGAAACGGAATAATACAAATTCACTGATGTTGAAATTCTTTAGAGACAATCTTGAATGCAAAAGCCAGCTGGATAGGTGAAAGGAGAAACTATTTCTAACAAGAGCATTGGCCACATTGAGTTAATAGAAGACTGGGTTGAAAATGTAAAACAACAAATCATCAGCATACAGAGAAAGTTAACAGGCAATGTCATTTCTGGAGATGCTCTCTGCTCTCCTGTTGAAGCCAGATGACCAGTGGCTCCACTGCTAATGCCAATAGAGGTTAGGCCTCAGCAAAGGTCAAAAGGGGGAGATCTCTCATCATTTGTAAGGAGATAGCAGTGGGAGAGTCGTAAAGTAGTCTAATCGATGCAATCAATACAAAAATTCCACTTTGCTTTGCCGATCAGTTTCTCTGCATCCAAAAAAAGGATCTCTTCCAGTACCACAGGGTCAGATGACCTCATAACATTGAAAATGTGCCTGGTAATAAATTATGAGTTCCTTTCAGCCGTGAAACCAGTCTAGTCAGATGATTTTACCGCAGAAAGGGCTTGGAATATGCTTTGTAAAATTCTATACATGTCATGTCCAAAGTGCAGCCCGAGAGCCATTAGCCGACCATTTACTTTTTTTCTTCAGCAGGTTGTTGATGTAGAGTGATACTTTACAGTTTTATGTTCAGAGTTTGAACGTATGCTCTACTTTCTCAGTAGCCTAGTTATAGTGTCCTAGTGGGACAAGGAGATCGAGGTTCAATTTCTGGTCGAGCCATACCAAAGACTTTTAAATAATGGAACCCTTCCTGCTTGACACTCAGCTTTAAGGGGTTAAACCACCAAATAGTTCCCAAGCACAGCCACTGCTGCAGCTCACGCCTTCCCTACGGGGATGGGTCAAATGCGGAGATGAATTTCACCAGTGTGTGATGACACATGAACTTTAAGTTATTTTGGACCTATTTTGTAAAGTAAACGTGGGAAATAAAATCACCCAATTTTTTAAAAATTTTTATTTTTCAAAAAAATAAAAATAAAAAACAAATCACATTTTTGGAGCCCAGAATGTCTACTACTTTAATGATTTTGGCCCCATCTTGATATCTTTGCACACCTTTATTCTAATTTCATAGCAGAAACTGCTGCACCTAGACTGTCAGCCAGACTGACATCAATTTGGGAGTATTTCGTCATCTAAGAGGGTTATGATTGATCCAAATCTTGGGCGACAATTTTATTTCAGTACAATGCACAGATACTACTGTCGACCCATTTAAAGACACTAAAATGTGAGTCGAATCCACCAGAGGAATAAATAAACACTAAAGCCTGTGAAATATTTTGTTGAGAGTCTTAAGTTCTGCAGCTTTAACGTGTTTAGGTGCACAGTGTCATCGTCAGAAGAAGAAACTAAAAGGCAAACAGGACAGGACCTCTATTGAGTCTTCTGCCTGATGCTTTTCACATGACTAAGAGGAAGAACAACACAGATGGAAAGATAGAAGAACGAGCTGCCTGACATAGTAATGTTCCCAGGAGCTGATTTAGTTATCCTCACTAAATAAATTTAATTAGCTAAACATGAGAAAAAGAGAATGAAACTGTAGAAAAAGAAAAGTGGAGATGGATAAAGGGTTTAAAAAAGGAGGCCATCAGTGATTTCCCCCCCCACTACTTGACCTGAAATTCTACAGAAGGAGACAAGATGAAGCTTTTCAACCATCTTGCAAACTTTATGCATTAACCTCCTCCGTGTGTTGCAGCTGCAGGGTTTTTTGGTTGAGCTCCGCGACGGGCTCCATGCTGCTTTGACAGAGCTTAGTGAACTCAGCCTGAGGGACCGTGACTTGGAGGAGAAGTTTCACGCCCATCAGACTGACACAGATGATAAAATAATGGGTCTGAAGAACTCGCTCAACACATTCAAGGTACTGGAAACAAAGCACGATTGAATAAAAAAGGCTAGTTAAATCCTAGTTTTTAATTCAATTCTGAACAGACTTTAAATACTTTTGCTTCATTATTAATATTAAAAAATTATGTTTTTACTTTATTAACTTTCGACAATTTGAAATCGTACAACTCAAAGTTTAATTGTTTCTAAAAGCAAGAAAACACCCCTTAGAGATGCAACCCTGCAGATTTTTTCCTGCAAATTTGTTCCTCATAGAGCACATAACCTGACCAATCTACAGGAATTAGACCGATCCCAATGCCTAATATGATCTAATTGCAGGAGGAGCTGAATGTGGCATTGTTCCATATTAAGGAGGTTTCCAGCAGACAGAAGGAGGTGCAGAAAAGGATGGAGCAGCTGCCGTTTGAAAACAAAGATATAATCTCTGCTCCACACAGGTACAACAAAACCAATCTGATCATTATTTAAAGTCAGATTACACTCAGTAAAACACAAATTGGGATTAAACAGCATGGGTGAAAGATGTTCTATCTTGTTTGTTTGGTCCAGCAGCAGAAAGAGCTCCAGGGCTGATGTCCTAACACCATCAGGGGATGAACACATATGTGCACTCAGCCAATCAGAGCTCAGCGTTTTCCCTACTCTGCCACACGGCGAGTCACCACAGAGGAGCAACACATCGACACAAAGTGAGCGTTTGAGTCATAATCAAATCCATTCACTGATGAATGACGCAAGTTTAACTTATATTTTTTTCTGCATGTTGCAGCCTCCACCTCCGACCAGGAGGCCCAGCAGCTGCAGAAAACCCCCATGTGGGGAGAGAAGCCTAACAGCCGAGATGAGATGAACGTCCCCAACAGTCAGAATGAAAACAGTAAGAGAAATGATCCAAAACACCGCTAAAGATTCACAGATCCATCTTACAGGAACACGTTGCAATGATATTTACAAAAAATAAGTAACCAATAGTTATTGCATCATCAGGCATTTGTACATATATACTGAACTTAAATTGGAAACTGTTGACGAAACATAATCTCAAAGAAGTTGAGCTTTTCTGAAAGAAAACAAGATAATGAAAAGATCTTTTTATGTATTCTTGAATTTTATTTTCATCGCCAGATAGTTGGACCTTGGATTCTGGAGGAACAATCCGGTTTTTGTCCTGGACGTAGGGTACTTGACCAAATCTACAGGTGCTGGCCAGTAAATTAGAATATCATCAAAAGGTTGAAAATATTTCAGTAATTCCATTCAAAACGTGAAACTTGTACATTATATTCATGCAATGCACACAGACCAATGTATTTCCGATGTTTATTACGTTTAATTTTGATATTTATAGGTGACAACCAATGAAAACATCAAATCTGGTATCTCAGAAAATTAGAATATTCTAAAGGCCAATGAAAAAATGTTTGTTTCTCTAATGTTGGCCAACTGAAAAGAATGAACATGAAAAGAATGTGCATGTATAGCACTCAATACTTAGTCGGGGCTCCTTTTGCCTCAATAACTGCAGTAATGCGGCGTGGCATGGACTCGATCAGTCTGTGGCACTGCTCAGGTGTTATGAGAGCCCAGGTTGCTCTGATAGTCGTCTTCAGCTCCTCTGCATTGTTGGGTCTAGCGTATTGCATCCTCCGCTTCACAATACCCCATAGATTTTCTATGGGGTTAAGGTCAGGCGAGTTTGCGGGCCAATCAAGGACAGGGATACCATGGTCCTTGAACCAGGTGCTGGTGGTTTTGGCACTGTGTGCAGGTGCCAAGTCCTGTTGAAAGGTGAAGTCTGCATCCCCATAAAGTTGGTCAGCAGCAGGAAGCATGAAGTGCTCTAAAACTTCCTGGTAGACGGCTGCATTGACCCTGGACCTCAGGAAACAGAGTGGGCCAACACCGGCAGATGACATGGCACCCCACACCATCACTGACGGTGGAAACTTTACACTGGACCTCATGCAACGTGGATTCTGTGCTTCTCCGCTCTTCCTCCAGACTCTGGGTCCTTGATTTCCAAAGGAAATGCAGAACTTGCTTTCATCAGAAAACATAACTTTGGACCACTCAGCATCAGTCCAGTCCTTTTTGTCCTTGGCCCAGGCGAGACGCTTCTTGCGCTGTTTCTTGTTCAAGAGTGGCTTGACACACAGAATGCGACACCTGAATCCCATGTCTTTCATGAGTCTCCTCGTGGTGGTTCTTGAAGCGCTGACTCCAGCTGCAGTCCACTCTTTGTGGATCTCCCCCACATTTTTGAATGGGTTTGTCGTCACAATTCTCTGCAGGGTGCGGTTATCCCTAGAGCTTGTACACTTTTTTCTACCACATTTTTTCCGTCCCTTCGCCTGTCTGTTAATGTGCTTGGACACAGAGCTCTGCGAACAGCCAGCTTCTTTAGCAATCACCTTTTGTGTCTTGCCCTCCTTGCGCAAGGTGTCAATGATTGTCTTTTGGACAGCTGTTAAGTCAGAAGTCTTCCCCATGATTGTGGTGCCTTCAAAACAAGACTGAGGGACCTTTTAAAGGCCTTTGCAGGTGTTTTGAGTAAATCAGCTGATTAGAGTGGCAGCAGGTGTCTTCTATATTCAGCCTTTTCAGAATATTCTAATTTTTTGAGATACCAAATTTGGAGTTTTCATTAGTTGTCACTTATGAATATCAAATTTAAATGTAATGAACATTGGAAATACATTGGTCTGTGTGCATTGCATGAATATAATGTACAAGTTTCACGTTTTGAATGGAATTACTGAAATATTTTCAACCTTTTGATGATATTCTAATTTACTGGCCAGCACCTGTAAATCCTTAGCAGGTTCCCAGAGGATGCATGGACATTTGCCCAACCATGTTAGTCTACACTTGTTTCATGTTCGACTGTGTCCCTCTTGGAGTCCTGTGTGTGGTGTGTGTGTGTGTGTGTGGGGAGGGGGGGGGGGGGGGGGGAGGGGGGGGGGTTACTCTGGGAGTTTGGAGTACCAGACCTCTTGATATGGACTGTTAGGTCCCTGTTGACCCTTAGCACCGACGTCACCTGAACACGTGGGTCCACCATTGTGGACGGCAAACGCATGTAAACAGTGAGTGACACAAGTACTAAACAAAGGGGAAAGTAGAGCCTGAAATTGTTTTTGCGATCAAAACAAAAACAAAACTCCTCCAGCATTCCTTCAACTAGTTCTTGCCCAGTTCAGTTATCAGAAGAAGTAGCGCATCTAGCCAGGGCTCATAGAGAGCGGTATGCTAATTAGCTTACCAACGTTAGCTTACGTGCTCTCTGCTGCTGTTCACCGATGTAAACATGTTGCTGACTTTGCCTAAATTCACCCCTCTGGATTTATAACTTTATGTTGTAAACAGCGTTTCACTTTACACCAAAGCTGATTTTTACGGATGCCTACCAGCTTCTGTTGCTGGTGGTGTTACCGAGTTCAGCTGCTGCTTTCACACCGGAATGAGAAGATCTCTGAACGCCGACGCTCATATAAATAACGTAATTTTAACACACCTAATCATACATCGGAGCTTTAATATCATTAATAATTGTCTCGCTTTACACTACAGTGGACGGAGCGCAGCCTCTGTGGTGAAATACCCATCCATCAGGATTATCAATAACTCGTATAAACACATCACATTTATCCCTGTCCCCGTCTTCCTTGTGAAATAAATGAACGTTAATCTTACCCGGTAAAAACATGCTCGCTGCAAATCTGATGCCTGCTAGTTCGCTTGATTGATCGCTGCAGTTCATCTCCATCCTCAGTCTCCATCAAAGTTATTAAAAAGAAAAAAACAAGTTGAGTTTACATCCTTGTCTGTTAGTGCAGCCAACCACACAGCAAGCTAAAACCATTTTACTGTCAAATCAACTAAATAAAAGCGACGAAAGGCTGCAAACTGGCTGGTTTTGACTACCTTCACTGGAGTTTGTACGGGTGTAAACGGTCTTTTTGCCGTTCATCATGGCGAAGGGGGCGGTCACATGAGTGGCGTGACGTCACGTGCAAAGGGTCAATTCTATCGGTGCCAGAGCTTGGTCCCTATTGTTGGCAGTAAGACAGGCTTGTTCCCAGTGAGAGTTGGACTCCACCAAGGCTGCCCTTTGTTGGCCTAAGGATCTAGTCACTGATTTTTGCAGATGGTGTGATACTGCTGGCTTCATCATTGTGTGATTTCCAACTTTCACTGGAGTAGTTTGCAACCAAGTGTGAAAAGGAAGAGATAAAAATCTGAATCTCCAAATCCACGACCATGTTTATGAGTTGGAAAAGGGTAGGATGTCTTCTCCAGGTCAGGGATGAGATCCTGGCTCAAGTAGATGAGTTTAAGGATCTTGTTCATGAGTGGGGGAAAGATGGAGCAGCAGCAGGAGATCAATAGGTGGATTGGTGCTGAGTTTGCAGTGAGGCAGGTGTTGTACCAGTCTGTCGTGTTGAAGTGAGAGCTCAGTCAGAAGGTAAAGCTCCTCATTTACCGGTCAACCTACAATCCAACTCTCATCTATGGTCCCAAGCTTGGGTGGTGACCTGGAAGAACAATAATGGGATACAAGAGGCCTAAAGGAAGACCCAGGACTCTGGAGGGACCATGTTTCTCAGCTGGCTTGGGGATGCCTTAGTATTCCCCCAGAGGAGCTGCGTCAGTGAAGAGAGGGAAATCTGGGCCTCTCTGTTTGGACTGCTACCCTATGACCTGACTCCGAATAAACAGAAGAAAATGAATAGATTTTTTTACATTTTTTTAAACAATTTTTTTTATTGATTTTCTTCATTTGGGTACCAACACATATAATGAAAATATCTCCACTCAAAACATTAAAAAAAAGACAAGAGACAATTATATGGCATAAATATACGAATAAACACAAACATGAAAACATTGTGCCCAATACCAATTTTCATTTCCCTTCTGTTAGCAAACCCAAATTCATGGTATGTTTGAAGTAGAACAAAAATAAAGAAGGGAGTGAAATAAAGTGAAAAAAAGAAACGAAAAAAGACATACACCCCCTGCATACATTAACAATATCAAATTACTTTGTTGTTTCACATTGTATTACCCGTTTCCAAAAAGCAAAAAATAACTTCCAGATCTCATCAAATGTATCTAACATATGTTTTGTAAAACAGCTTATTCGTTCTAAAGCCACAAAGGATGTCATACCTTCCAACCAGTCTGAGGTTGCACAAATGTTAGGTTTTTTCCAGCAACGTGCAATACATCTTTTAACCTCCAATAGGCAAATATCCATAAGATGTTTTTTAGAATTAGAAAGGATAAAGTTGTTAGGATATATGTTTAAAACACACAACTTAGGGTCTACAGGTATTACTTCATTAATTATTTTACCAATAATTAAAAGAGTCTCCTTCCAAAAATGTAATAATGGTTGACATTCCCACACACAATGAAATAAGGATCCCCTTTGAGACTCACATTTAATACATGTGTCAGGTACATCAGGGTTGAACTTATGTAACTTAGTTGGTGTGATATATTGTCTGGTCATCCATTTGTACTGAAGTAATTTGGAGTTTGTATTGACAGTCTGGGTCTTAATTAAAGAACAAGTTTCTGTCCACTCTTCCTCTGATATGGTTCCACCCATATCGGAGTTCCAGGCTCTGAAGATGCTCATTGATGAATCCTTAGAACTTTTAATTATCTCATTGTATATAATGGAAATCTGTCCCTTACCTGACTTATATTTAGACACAATCTCATCTAAAGTTGATGGTGCAGGTGGGGCAAGGTTACCATTTTGACTTGATTTAATGAAGTTTCTAACTTGAAGATATTTAAAAAAAAGTGTTTTTGGAGAATACTAAAGTTGGTCACCAGGTCTTGGAAAGTTCTTATATTCTTTCC